ACGTTGGTGACCAGCGTGCGTGTCCTCGTCTGCAACACGGCGACTTCAGCGAAGTCAGCAAGGGCTTCGACGGGTGGCGAACAGCTGGTGGTTGGAGACTTGAAAAGCTATTCCTCGTGATGGAGGCAGACGATGGCAAACATCTCGATTGGCAATATTTGCAACCGATGCTGAACAAAATACATTTCCCGCGTCTACGTTCGATAAACATCATCCAAGTAGGAGGTCGTAAAGTCAGTCTGCCAGAACTACCATGGGTAACTGATTCGACAACCCTTTCGATACGGTTCATTGATCGTCAGAATACTCCTCAATTTTACGCAAGATACTTACCAGCCAGCTACATTTAAAGTGAGCTATTGTTTACTTTAAGAATCAGGTTTGGAGATCTAACTGTGGTACCATACATCCAACAACCGGAATTCAAGATCATTAACCAATATTGATGGCATACACATCGATGTCGAAGCTAACTCAAAATTATTCTACGATATATCTACTTCTCCTAGTACTGTCTGCCAATCAAGTTCGACAAATTCATCACTGTCCACAGCACTATCGTAGCATACGTTAAGCCATTAGAAAAATTTGCTTCGCCGGGGAAAAAAAAAAACCTTATCAGAACAACATTGGCTCTGGATATATCGTTTTCACTGGTGTCCCAAAGAGAATCGTTGAATCGACGCGACGCGATCAGCATATTACCCAGACAATCATCTGCTAAATCCTCCTCGAAACTGTGAACGAGCTGGTTGACCCTCAATCCATGGGGAACACCCTCTCGGGGCTATTTTCCTTTTAGAAAGTGCAAAGTATAAGGACAACGACACTAACTTGTGGTGAATAAATGATTGAATAAAGACGTTCAACATTAGCTTCATCCTGAGAAGACACGGACTCTCCTTCAGAATCTTCTTGGGGGGGGGAGCATATCTCGTAGACTTTGGGAGTAAAGACTACCATCGCACCGCTGGCGCCTTGTGGTAACCAGTAGCTTGTGTCAAGAGAAGAAACAGTTTGCTGGTTATGCATCCCAACATGGTATGGCACCTTGACCAAGAACGGTTTGGTACAGTCTGTACCGTAAAAGATACACTTGACAAAGCGTACGAATGGCTGTTGAACATATCAACGTCATGGGTTTCAATCCTGAACAACAACCGACCGGGTCATGAGATGCTTGAGATGCTTCTATCTCTCTAACGTTGTAATCGAAAACCGGTTGTTCTTCAGTAATACCAAAGTCCCTTAACATGTCAGATTGCGGATATGGAGAAAATTGTGGCATAATGGTGAGATACAGCAAAGCCAGGGTATATGACATCATTGATCGGTCTGACTTTCGTCAATTCAAACCGTTGAACGATTTAACGTTCAACACTCAGAACCATGATACCGTCGTCCTCTTTCCAATGTTTAAATATGTATTTCCATGTAACTAGCTCTTGAACACTGTTTCCTTCGTTATGAAAAAAAAGTCGCTTCGCATTGGTGCAAAGCAGTGTATTTGTCAGCAAGCAAGGTGCCTGCTGCCGCTGCTAAGTGTCAGCCTCTAGTGACCATTTTCGGAGCATATATGCGCCTTCTGCAGTGTATTCTATGTCGAGGACGAGTTGTGAGTGCGTTTTGGTGTGGTGTCGCATGTCTGATGGACGAAATATACAGCGCCTCAAAATTCCCTTTACTCCCCCCATCTACAATGCCGACCCCCGACATCGATATATCTGTCTCTCAGACGTGTGCACAAGCGGATGGGTGGGAATGGGTGTGAAACGGCGATTGGTTAAGGTTCCGTTCCAGGGATAAATGTCGTGTCGCAGGGGTCTTGAGTATATAGCAACCAGAAATTTGCAGATATTCGCAGGAAATGGTGTATTATATGAAGGAATTACAAAAAAATTCTACCTACAAGTGAGGACAGAGAAATGCAGATGGGAGCAGAATAGAAGGGGTAGCCGCCGAAATTTCCGCAATCAACGCCATAGTTCGTCGAAAAGGGGCAGACAGTTGCGGAAAAAAATCCGCAAAAGGGACGAAATCCCATTCTACCTGCACCTTTCTGCTCTGCCAACGATCTCCGATATCTGCCGGGAATTCGCAGATACTTGCGGCTGGTAACAGAGCCGGTTTTCACTGGGCTTGATGCCGTGAAGCTAAATCTGCCAGGACTGCTACCGGAAAGATTTGTCAGCCAACGGTTCTGCATCCAGAGATACCTTACATAATTCCCAAGAAATCCTTGAGGGATGCTCGGTGCTCTATGAATTCATGATGACGCGGAGCCGAATCGAAACACCGCCCAGCACCCAATGAACACCTTCAACGCCCCAAGTCGACTTCATTCCTTTGGCGCAAACCAGGTAAGTGCCAGACAGAGCCAACATGCAAGAAAGTCGAGCCGACCCACCGAAGAGGGCGATATTGACGAGGAATGAGACAGGCAAAGACGAGGACTGAAGCAGGAAGCTCAGGCACATGAGCACTAGATAAAAATATAACACGTGTTCACTTCGTGGCGTAATTGGGGGTCTTCTGGCCTACAGGCGCTCTCCATCTCTTCCTTCCCCCATCTTGAACCTCTCTACCTTCGGTATCTCAGCATGAACGGAACGAGCTTTTTTAAGGGCGCTCACGGCTTTGTTGCCAGCAACAACATAATGAATGCAGCAAACACCGTGAGTGGAATGTTTATCAGATGTCCATCAGGCAAGCTGAGGGCGTTGAATCTCTTGCAGATCAACATCCATACCAATTATCGGACGTACCAATTTGCCTGCTCCGACGCACGGAGTCACGAAATCGGCACACATGCCTCATGCCCCGAGGCGCGCCCCCCTGCTCAGTATCTAAACGCCCCAGACAGTGCAGCGGTTCCCGCCTTAATTGAAACGACTCCTTTCCTTTCAAGCGACATCGCCGCCGCCGCCCAAATCGCTCTCCTGATTCACCAATCTCTCAGCGATAGCAAAGGGGCTCCGTATGAGTTCAACCGCTTCGTCGACGAGCTACGTTCTTTCAGCGATGCCTTGCTTTCGCTTTCCGAGATAGTCCGTGAGATTGAACTACAACCCCTTGGCCCAGTCACCAAGAATATCATATACGAAGCTGCGACTTGCCTCGATTTCGTGACGAAGGTCAGAGATGGTATCGAACCATACGAGACAGCTTTCGTGGCAGGGCGAGGTTCCTTCAGGAAAGTTTGGTACAAAATCTGCTGGGGCGTTTTCAAGCCAAAGGAAGTTACGATACTGCGGAAGAAGCTTTCTCAGCGTACACAGAAGATCGCAATCTGGGTGGGCGTGTTGGGAATGTAAGCGCTGATTGCCAGTCCTTACCATCACTCACGGCGCTCTAGTTTCTTAACTTCCAATCACGGCAAAACCGTCGCGTCGATCGAGACAACAACAAAGGAGCTACTCATGGTACATAAAAATATAGCTCCATCCATTTCGTACGGCGTTGGGAATACGGTGATTTTGACGGATGCATTCGGGAAGCCGATACCATTGGCAATGGACTACTATTACTCGCCGGAGGTGTGCCACATAGACCTATGTCCTAGTTGTACTAACATCATGCATAGGCCCTTCATAACTTTCTGATGTTTCACTTCAAGGAGAAGATCGGTCTGGAGTACGTCGAGAGACACGAGTACAGCATCTCTACCGAGGACGGCAAAGCAATTACGAAGTCTGATTATGCAGCATGGGGATCCATTGTGAAAGAAGGCGCAGTACTTGTTATGAGTATTGTGATTAGAATACAACTGGAGTCAAAGCTTGCTGAACGGCAGAGAAACACTTGCCCCCGGTGTTTTAGGACTGACGTCGGTGTGATGCAGGACCAAGAATGGTTAGAGTGGTAAGCATGATCTGGTTATTTGGATTTTTTTAATTCAATCATCCTGACATATACACTGCAGTCGGCGCTGTGGACGACGCTTTCGCTGGGTTGACAGGGAGGAGCATGCATTGAAAGCACCACCAAAGGATCAAAGCATAGTTGATTTTCGGAATCTCCAAGTGATCCCAGTTCGAATGGTAATTAAATTCATTTTGGGAGGATTGATGGACAGGCAAACTAACCTGACCTCTGCTTTCTCATTCCCAGAGTGTATGTGAACTTGATGCTTTGACTCTGACCATGCCTCTGACCATGCATCTTACTTTCTCATTTCCAGAAAGTATGTGAACTTGTTGATTTGACACTGACCATGCCTCTGACCATGTGTCTTCCTTTCTTGTTTTCAGTTGGTATGTGAACTTGTTGATTGGACTCTGACCATGCCTCTGACCATGTGTCTTGCTTTCTTGTTTCCAGGAAGTATGTGACCATGTTGATCTGACCATGTGTCTTGCTTTCTTGTTTCCAGTCTGTCTTCCTTTCCCATTTCCAGGATGTATGTGAACTTGTTGATTTGACTCTGACCATGCTTCTGACCATGTGCTCTTGCTTTCTTGTTTCCAGAGAGTATGTGAACTTGTTGATTTGACTCTGACCATGCTTCTGACCATGTGTCTTGCTTCTGTGTCTTGTTTCCAGGATGTATGTGAACTTGTTGATTTGACTCTGACCATGCTTCTGACAATGTGTCTTGCTTTCTCATTTCCAGAAAGTATATGAATTTGTTGATTTGACTCTGACCATGCTTCTGACCATGTGTCTTGCTTTCTTGTTTCCAGTCTGTCTTGCTTTCCCATTTCCAGAGTATGTGAACTTGTTGATTTGACTCTGACCATGCTTCTGACCATCTGTCTTGCTTTCTCATTTCCAGTCAGTATGTGAACTCATTGATTTGACTCTGACCATGCTTCTGACCATGTGTCTTGCTTTCTCATTTCCAGAAAGTATGTGAACTTGTTGATTTGACTGTGACCATGCTTCTGACCATGTGTGTTTCTTCCATTTCTGCTTTCCATTTCCAGGCTGTATGTGAACTTGTTGATTTGACTCTGACCATGCTTCTGACCATCTGTCTTGCTCTTCATACCCAGCCTGTATGTGAACTTGTTGATTTGACTCTGACCATGCTTCTGACCATGTGTGCTTTCTTTGTCTTGCTTTCTCATTTCCAGGATGTATGTGAACTTGTTGATTTGACTCTGACCATGCTTCTGACCATGTGTCTTGCTTTCTCATTTCTGGTTGGTATATGAACTTGTTGATTTGACTCTGACCATGCTTCTGACAATGTGTCTTGCTTTCTTGTTTCCAGAGAGTATGTGAACTTGTTGATTTGACTCTGACCATGCTTTTGACCATGTGTCTTGATTTCTCATTTCCAGTCAGTATGTGAACTTGTTGATTTGACTCTGACCATGCTTCTGACCATGTGTCTGCTCTTGCTTTCTTGCATTTCCAGTCCAGGATATGTAAATTTGTTGATTTGACTCTGACCATGCTTCTGACAATGTGTCTTCCTTTCTCATTTCCAGTTGGTATGTGAACTTGTTGATTTGACTCTGACCATGCTTCTGACCATGTGTTTTCCTTTCTCGTTTCCAGGATGTATGTGAACTTATTGCTTTGACTATTACCATGCTTCTCACCATGTGTCATGCTTTCTCATTTCCAGGCTGTATGTGAACTTGATTGCTTTGACTATTACCATGTGTCTTGCTTTCTTGTTTCCAGTCTGTCTTGCTTTCCCATTTCCAGGCTGTATGTGAACTTGTTGATTTGACTATGACCATTCCTCTGACCATCTGTCTTGCTCTTATACCCAGCCTGTATGTGAACTTGTAGATTTGATTATCTGACCATGCTACTGACCCTCTCTATCTTGCTTTCCCATATCCAGCCTGTACGTGAACTTGTTGCTTTGACTCTTACCATGCCTCTGACCCTCTGTCTTGCTTTCTTATTCCCAGCATGTATGTGAACTTGTTGCTTTGACACAGACCATGCCTTTGACCATCTGTCTTGCTTTTGCATATCCAGGCTATATGTGAGCTTGTTGATTTGACTCTGACTATGCTTCTGACCATGTGTCTTACTTTGTCCTTCCTAGTTTGATTAATTTGACTCTGACCATCCTTCTGACCATCCATCTTGCTTTTCCATTTCCAGTCTGTATGTTAACTCATTAGCTTGACTCTAACAATCTGTCTTGCTTTTTCATATGCAGTGTGCATGTTAACTTGTTCATTTGACCCTGATTATGCTTCTAACCAATGATCTTGCTTTCTTATATCCAGTATGTACGTGAACTTGTTCATTTGACTTGGATCATTGCTCTAACCATCCATCTTGCTTCCTCACTTTCTGGAAGTATGTAAACTTGTTGCTTTGGTACTCACTGCACTGCTTACTTTCCACCTTATTTTCATTTTCTGACATTAAGTGAACTTGTATGTATCTAAAACACTGTTTACATTGATTTCACCAGGTATGTATTCAAATGTCAGTTTTCCTGATGGCTCTGGTGTCATGTCTGGAACAGTCAACAGTTTTTGAAATTTTTCAAAAAATGTCCATCTAAGATGTGGGGTACATTACACCAACCACATATGTAAGATTGCAGATCAAGAGCAAGAGTTGTTTGATTTTGACAGATTTATTTTCAATTTTCGATATATCTACTGTAACACAGCCCAGATCTTAATTAGTGTTTAAAGGTTCCATCCATAGGACCGCAAAAAACCAGTGGACCGAACTGAACTGGGCCATGGTCCGGTCTTTTTTTCAGTTGCAGTTGCCCCAATTTGGGGTTGGTCCGGTTGCTGTTTGCCTCATTTCGAATTTCTTTTAAAACTGTTCAAAGACTCGTTTTAATTGGTTGCAACTGGTTAAACGGTCATGTGCGTTACATACCCTTGTAACCACGTTTATTACCTTTTATTGGGTTTTTGTTTCATCAAAAACGGTTAAGAATTGGGAAAGATATAACCAAATCCATATTTTACCCGAGTTGCTAGGAGATATAATTTGGTTTCAGTCATAACTATGTCAAATCTTCATTAAATCTCTTAAAAATTGGTAGAATGATGGGTATTTACATGCCTTACTATTTTATATAACCCATTTATTTTTCAGAGTAATAATAGTTGAGATACAAATGGTTTATATTGGTATAATAAATTATATGCAAAAAAACCGGTCTGGATCGGTCTGAACCAGCTCCATAGACCGCAAAAGACTGGTCCTAGCTGGTTCGGTTCGGTTCCCTCAATATCTGGGTCGGTCCTAGACCGGTTTCGGTCCATGGTTGCGCATTTTGGGGGCAAAAAACCGGACTGAACTGAACTTGTGAACACTAATCTTTATGTAAGCCCAATCCTTTTTGAGGCTGAGGTCAAGACCATGTTGGGATATATAAACAACATATCTGTAGCTCATATATTAGCATTTTATGGGGGTGTAACACTTTATTTTTACCTATTAATTCTTTTTTCTTTGTTGCCTGTGGCATGGCAACATGCCATTAAGAAGGAGAAGTGAATATAGAGTGCTTCCACATACTCTGAAGTATTCTATTAGCATTAAACATATTTTAGTGACCAATTGCATGGAGTAGAACTGATTTGTATGCTCAATAAATCACAATTTCCTTTCCTATGGTTCTAGTGTATCCTACAATTTATAACATGTAGATTGAGGTACTCAAATATTTTTCTGGCCTGTGGCGCATAACACAATGAAAAAAGCAAAGAGAAAAGGTGACCTGCCTATTTGGGTGTTAATCCCAATCAGGTGTTAATATTTCCCAGGCCCCTAAAATGGGTGTTAACTACATTACAGTGAATTCAGACATTTTGCCTACCAAATTTTACTGACCACATGAGTAGAAGTAAGCATAGAGCACATCTAATTTTTTTCTCAGCCTGCAGTGCAAACTGTAGTTTTGTGGATGAGTGGAAAGGTTGTGTGTGTCCAAGGCTGCCTGCCTCTTTGGGTGTTAACTTTGATGGCAATCCCAATTGGGTGTTAAATTTTGATTGTTGGGTGTTGAATAACACCCAATTAGGTGTTATTTTGTTCCAGACATGGCTCCAGAGCCTTCCTGATGTCCTTGTGTTTACTTGTTATTTGATCCTAAATCTAAGTATGTCATTAACCTTTACATTGATTTTTATTTACACTCTCCCTTATTGCAATTTTCAATAATGATGACATTTTGAAATAAAAAGTTTGAACTCTGGTCAGGTTATTTGACATGTGAGAAGTCACAATCTGTGATAGCACCAGTCATGTTCACAATCTTCTGTGTTCAATAACTCCATGTCCAACTATGATACTACTGACAGTGAAGAGGATGAGAATGATGGCTGTAATTATAGTAACACATCAGCTTGTACCTTTGCAGGGGGTCCTAGCCTTTATAACTACAACAAAAGCATCAAGATGACTATCATCTTTACTTCTCCTCTGGATCATTGAAAAAAGTGCAGGGCCAACACCAAGCCAACAGCTGCACAAAAATTGATCACTTTCATGAAGATGTTCCCTTGCCTGACTTCTTGTCCAAAGCTTTTGGCACCAACCTTACCAATCCCTTCACCTTTTTCTCAGAGCTTACTCTCTGACTCATATAAATACTCCTCACATGCACCAAGTACTCTTATCCTTGATATTAAAGTTAACTTCTGTCTTATTCCTTCATCCTCTCACCTCAGTCTCTCATCTGCATTACATCCAAATATCCAAGGAAGCCAACTTATGTGTTTGTTCACTAAGATTATTGAGTTTTGGTTCAAAGAGTGGCCAGAGAGAGATGAGCTATTCCCTAACAGGGACAGCATAGCTGAGCCATTGACTCAAGATGAGCTTGGGCACTTGCCTACTGTGATTGACATTTGAAAAACAATAAGTAACCCATACATTTGTGATAAACTCACCTGATTGTTTCTTTTAGCAAATACAGAACTTGTTTGGTTGGCATTCTAGAACACAGAAGTGCCATGGACACAGATCTGGTTCAACTCTTGCAGCTGTGATTGAAAATGAAGTGGGGACACAGAAGTGCACTTGTGCTCAGAAAGCTGTTGAGGTTTATCAGACCTTAGATAAATATAAAGTAAGTTTCATGTTATTCAAATTAGTGTTTAAAGGTTCAGTCCATAGGACTGCAAAAAACCAGTAAACTGAACTAAACCAGACCATGGACCAGTCTTTTTTTTGGTTGCAGTTGCCCAAATTTGGGGTTGGTCTGGTTGCCGGTTGCCTCATTTCAAAAATCTTTTAAAACTGTTCAAAGACTGGTTTTAATTGGTTGCAACCAGTTAAACGGTCATGTGTGTTACATAGTCTTATAACCATGTTCATTATCATTAATTGGGTTTTTGGTTCATCAAAAACAGTTAAGAACTGAGAAAGATACTGTCATGTGACCATTACTGGGTCACTTTAGCTTATTGGGAGCACATAAAATTTTGCGAGTGAGTAGGAGGAAACATATACATATTGTATCTGTAAGTTTTATTCTGGAGGGATGCTTTTGGGTAGTGTTAAAATGCCTTGACCCATTTGCCCTGAATTGGTCAGCACCCATAAGCCAACTGTAAAATACTCTTAGACACCTCATATTCTCCTTATCTGATTTAAAATTTTGTGTGTGAGTTACCAATACCTCCACTGTAAACTCTCAAAAATATTTGTGTCAATAGAGGCTAGCACTGTGGAGAGAAATGGTTGTCAATTAGATAGACTTGCTTTGATGGGCAAACTTGGCAAAACAACAATGTGACCATCTTATCTCCCTTACAGTGCCTTGCATAATGCTTTGCAGCATGAATTTTTCAAAATTGTATTTGGCTGTATTTAAGCTGGACCTGAGATGTCACAATTAGGCCTATTTCAGACAGGAATCATCTTGTTGGGCCTTGGTTGTGACATCTCAGGTTCACTACAAATATGATCAAATATGATTTGAAAAAATTTGTGCTGCAAAGTATTATGCAAGACACTGTATATCTCAGCTCATGCTCAACGTTCTATCCAATAAATCTCCACACACAGCCACACGTACATTGTCAAACTCTGTTCAAAATTTCAAATGCATAGCATGGATTGTTGTGGTGTTATAGCTTGTTGACCCATTAGTGCTGATGACCCATTAGGGGTCACATGACAGTATAACCAAATCCATTTTGGAATAAATATTTGTTTGTGCAGAATGACTTTAATTCTAATTCACTCAAATTTTGATCATTTTGCTTGATTAAATTTTTGGATATTGAAACTATAAGTATGAGAATATGTTCACCATGTATCAATGTATGGTATGCATCAAATAATTTACAGTTGCCACATTAAAGTTTGCCTAAGTCTTTAGAAGATGTGATTTGGTTTCAGTTATAGCTATGTCAAATCTTCATCAAATCTCTTACAAATTGGTAGAATGATGGATATTTACATGCTTTACTATGTTGTATAACCCATTCATTTTTTATCATTAATAATAATTGAGATATAAATGGTTTAAATTGGTACAACAAATTATATGCAAAAAAACTGGTCTGGATTGGTTTGAACTGGCTCCATGGACTGCAAAAAACCAGTCCTAGGTGGTTCAGTTCAGTTCCCTCAATATCTGAGTCAGTCCTAGACCAGTTGCGGTTCATGGTTGTGCATTTTAGGGGCAAAAAACTGGACTGAACTGAACCTTTAAACACTAATTCAAATAAACTCACAGTGTTTAACAAATTGCAGCCCAAGATTTGAGCAGTCATTAAGGAGGAGAAAGCCTGACTTGGTGAAGCTGGTCTAATGCATGCCATTCACTTGAACCTTACAAAGATGATGGCATCCAAGTTATTGGTTTGGAGTCAGAGGAGGTGAAGGAAGAGGTTCACCTTGAGATGGAAAGAAGGAGAGATGTGAGGAAGAATGCTGTTCTTCCCACTGTTGGTGATAGTGAGCACCAGCCTGAGGAATATCAGAAGTATGTTGACCTGTGTGGTTGTATTTAGTTTCAAGCTCATTATCTTGGAACATCAACTCCTCCATCTTGAAAACAGTCTTTGAGGTGTTGGCCAACTCAACTGGATGGTCTTTCCATATTCTGAGAGGAGGACCCAATCCTATTGCAGAGGGGGGCAATATACCAACAAGAGTACATCACTTTCCTTCTAATTGTGTTTTCTAAATATGAATGATATATAGTTTCTACTTTGGCCCAAAATCACTTAATGACCGCACCTTCCAGGATACATATCCAAGCTACCAGAGAGCAGTTGTTGATAGTGTTTAAAGGTTCAGTCCATAGGACCACAAAAAACCAGTGGACCGAACTGAACCAGACCATGGTCTAGTCTTTTTTTCGGTTGCAGTTGCCCAAATTTGGGGTTGGTCCAGTTGCCAGTTGCCTCATTTCAAAAATCTTTTAAAACTGTTCAAAGACTGGTTTTAATCGGTTGCAACCAGTTAAACGGTCATGTGCATTACATAGCATTGTAACCATGTTTATTACCTTTAATTGGGTTTTTCGTTCATCAAAAATGGTTAAGAACTGAGAAAGATATAACCAAATTCATTTTGGTATAAATACTTGTTTGTGCAACTTGTACCAGAATGACTTTAATTCTAACTCACTCAAATTTTCATCATTTTGCTTGGTTCAATTTTTCAGTACTTTACAGTGCCCCACCTATTCCTGCAGGAATCCGGTCATTCCAGTGGAATCCAGTCATTCCAGTGGAATTCCAGTGGGTTCCTGTCGAATCATCTAAACTTGTGTGTTTTATCCTGTTCAGCTAGAAGTAACACTTGAGGCAGGGCCTAATAAATAATCAGGACAAATGTACCTCCTTAATTGTGGCCACTTGCAAAATAATGAAGCAAATGTGCATTCCGAAAACATTAATTCTCAAAATTAGAAAATGAAGAACAATAAGAACTTCAACCACATTTAATTTGCATATTTAAACAATGTCTTTGAGAAATAGTCTTGGTAGCCATGGCAACACCACTCAGCTGAAGAATATGTTAAAGAATAAAATAATGGAATTGGTCTGTCAATATGGCTGATGTTCTTATTGTTCAACAGTTTAAAATTTTGTTAATCAATGTTTTTGGCATACACAACAGCTTTATTATTCTAGGAGTGTCGACAATTATGGAGGTACCTTTGCCTAGATCAAACATTGGACCCTGTCTCAAGTGTAATGTGACTTGATATGTATTTATTCAACTCAAACTATGATAATTTGAAGTCAATAAATCAATTTATAATGTATTTAAATAAATGATATAAAATGTATTTTACATACTACTCTATATTTAAGGAAGTGGGGGAGGGGGGGGACAAGGAGAGGGGTAGGGATAAGGAAAGGGGGTGGGACTAGGTAGAGGCAAGGGACTATATATTTAAGGAAGGGGGGGAGGAGAGTTATGGAGAGAGGGAGTGATGGAGAGGGGTGGAGTGATGGAGAGGGGTGGAGTGATGGAGAGGGGTGGAGTGATGGAGAGGGGAGGGAGTGGTGGAAGGGGGAGGGAGGGGAAGGGGGTGATGGGGAGGGCAGAGAGGGGAAGGAAGTGGAGTGATGGAAGGAGGGGGAGTGAGGGAGGGGGTGGTGTGGTGTGTGTGATGAGAGGGGGAAGACAATAGTGGATACTTACATGATTGGTTGGGGGCAAGCTCACTCCCCCAGGCTCGTCGTCACCCCATTTCTGTTCATGCGTGGTTGTGGACGTGTGATGGCGGTTGTAGACCAGTACTTCATCATGCCCCACTGATTCCTGCAGGAATGGAGCCATTCCACTGGAATCCGCAGGAATGGCACAGGAATCCACAGGAATGGACAAGAATGGCACTGGAATCCACAGGAATGGCCTAAAACACATATTTTGGAGCCTAGAGTATATTATGGAAAATTCCAAGCTTAGCTAGATGTCATGTGACTTAATCAACTCAGACCTTATGCTCATAACTTCTAAGAATTCTTTATGATATTTAGACTTGAATAGGGAGAATCACAGTGTATTTGATAGAACTACATAAATCTATTCTACTACATTGAGTGTT